GCCGCGCCCATTTCGGCACACCCCTCACGCGTTCCGCGGCCCGATAGGGAGCTCCGCCGACGGCCTTGCAACCCATTTCGGCACACCCCTCGCACGTTTCGTGGCACCGTCGGTGGCTCCACCGAGAGTTCCAGAGGCAGATTCCGCATGTCGCCGCGCGCATTTCAGCACCCTCCTCGAGCTTCGTGTCCCCATCCTCATTCTTGTCACTTGCCTTTCGGCGCTATACCTGCATACATTTGGTTGAGTCATGTGCCCAGTAGATTTGGGTTCAGGGTTTCCTGAGTCGGATATATCTGTTCGCCGTGAATACCGATGGTGTCGGTAATCGAGAATCCCGATTGCAGGTCAAAGTAGAATGTTTGCAGCGACTCGCATCCAGCGGAGATGGAGAGTGCGCAAAGCCAAAGCTGGTTTGGGAACGGTTGCGCCAGAAATGTCCGTACCATGTTGGCGAACACTGTCGATGCCCAATAGTTCCGACGTTCGGCGCACCAAGAAATGAAAACATGTGGCAGTATTGCTATGTTGTGCAAGATAGGCTTGCTCTGTGTAAGAGTACCCAAATGGATCAACTCACTTGCGAGACTGATCAGCGTGGACCCGCGTTCTCATCGCGAACGGGCGAATGCCCGCCAAAAGGAGGAGGAAAGGGAGAAGGAAGCAGACGGGAGGAGGGCTCGGAGGAGGAGGAGGAAGATGAGGAGGAGGAGGATGAAGTGTAGGTGAGGATGGGGATGGCGAAGAGTAGGAGGGTGAAGAGTAGGAGGAGGGGGAGCAGGAAGAGGAGGAGGAGGGGGAGGAGGAGGAGGAGGAGGACGACGACGACGACGACGAGGACGAGAACGAGGAAGAGGAGGAAGGCGGCAGAGGAAAGGAAGCAGGAAGAGGAGAGGAGAGAGAGGGGCGGCCCCAAGAGGAGGCTCCAGGAGGTCTGAAGACGGCCTGAAGACAGCCCCCAGAGTCTCATGGGAGTCTTCCGAGAGGAGGAGGGGGAGGAGGAGGAAGAGGAGAAGGTGGAGGAGGAGGAGGAGGAGGACCAGTGTAAGCCGAAGAGTCGTCAACGATGTTGGAATAAACCCTCCCTCCAAGCTCCCTCTTCACAGGCACCTACAACGGTTCATTTCCACTGAGGGAAATGCAGCGTTGGAAGACAACCGTTTGAAGACCCTGGAGCATGCCAACACAGTATTCTCAGGGCTCCAACGCGACGGATCAACCTGACTGTTACGTCTTGACGGTCCTGGATCACGCAAGAACGCCATTCTTGGGATTTCAACACCGCGAATCAACGTAACTTCTGCGCCCTCATAATCCTGAATCCGCGAAACTCTTGTAACTTTTTAGAAACGAATGTGCGCTTCGCTAAGGCGAGAACCTCATTTTGAAAACGACCCGCCCTCAATCCGTGAAACTGTTGCATTGTTAATAACGATGCGCGCAGCGCTGCGCTGAGGCGAGAGCCACATTTTGAAAACGACCCGCCCTCAATCCGTGAAACTGTTGCATTGTTAATAACGATGCGCGCAGCGCTGCGCTGAGGCGAGAGCCACATTTTGAAAGCGATTCGCCCTCCATCTGTGAAATTCTTGCCAACTTTGAAGCTTCAGAGTCATGGATGGTGAGGAAGTCTCAGGCGAAACGCCCGGCCCGCCCTAAAAGATGGCCTCGGAGTGCGACAGGGAGAAGTTGTCTGTAAGGACCAGAAAAGGAGAAGGAGGGAGAGGAGGAGGAGGAGACGGAGACGGAGACGGAGGAGGAGAACGGGAAGGAGGGAGAGGAGGAGGAGCATAAGCACAGGAAGAGACGTAGGAGGAGAAGGGGAAGGAGGAGGAGGAGGAGTAGCAGCAGCAGCACTGGGAGGTGGAGGAGGACGACGACGACGACGACGATGAGGACGACGACGACGACGACGACGACGACGACGACGACGAGGACAACGACGACGGCTCCTGGAGGTCTCCAGAGGTCCCCAGAGGTCTGCGGGTGACTCCCAAAGGCCTCACGAGGCTCAAAATAGGTCGAAGATGCTCAACAATATAGTAATGGATGCCTTGGATCCCCAAGTTTCGATCCAGCGTCGGTGGGAGGGCGCGTTGGTAGCCAGAAAGGGCCTCGCCTTCGAGGGGTCGAGCAGTTGATAATCTTCCTCGGCGGAAGGCCGGTGGAAGCAAAACAGAGACGGCTCCGCCGGCGGAAGGGAGAGCTACGCCCCTGGGACGGGGATGCCGACGTTCCTTTGGGCTCGGGGCCTCCGGAGCGGGCAATGCAAACGCATGCGCCTGGTCCCCGGAGCCCGATGCGGCGGCGGCGGCGACGGCGGCGACGGCCGCCGAGGTGGCCAGCGTCCGCGGGCAGCCAGCCCAGACCCCCGACGTCATAATTTGTTTCATCACGTCGACCCCTGGAGGTCTCGACCCATTCCCCCGGACCGCTTGTTCATCCTGCGTCGTTTTTTGACGCTCCCGAGGGCCGCCAAGGGCCCCCAGAGGCCGATAATAGCGACAAACTTCCCGTCGTGACTACCTAACAGCGAAGATTGATAGGTTTCTAATGGGGTCAAAAGAGAGCATCTGATGACTCCCCAGGAGAGTCTGGGCGGGAGCCGGACAGGCGAGGGCCGGGCTCGTTTTAAGCAAACAGTCACACACTTCGTGCTCTTCGACCTCCCAGAACTCCATTCCCGGGCTACATTTTGAATGCCCGGAGCCAACTGTAGGCCACTTCGTGCTCTTCGACTTCCCAGAATTTTTTTCCCGGGCCACATTTTGAATGCCCGGAGCCAACTTTAGGCCACTTCGTGCTCTTGGACTTTCCAGAACTGTTTTCCCGGGCCACATTTTGGATGCCCGGAGCCAACTGTACGCCACTTCGTGTTCTTCCACTTCCCAGAACTCCACTCCCGGGCCACATTTTGAATGCCCGGAGCCAACTGTACGCCACTTCGTGCTCTTCCACTTCCCAGACTTCCAAGACTCATCTTCATCATCACCATCGTCCCCGTAGCCTTCTTGGCTACAGCCCTGCTTTCGAAGATTTCCTATCAAAGGAACTGCGCAGCGCCTACTGCACACCTCAATGCCAGGACATGCTGATAGTTCTCGGTCTGGCGGCGGTGCTCCTGACCCTGCTGCATTGAACAGCGGTGCTCCTCAGCCTTCGGCAGGGAACAGCGCTGCTCCTCAGCGTGCTGCATTGAGCGGTCCTCTGCAAACGCTCGTCGAGCACGTGAAGCAGTTCGGCCGGATACCGAAACGAAATAAAGGAACGTCCGAGCAAGAACGGGCCGAAAACAAGTTGGCCAAACGTTTCTCGGACCATCGCGACCGCATCCCCAAAGACATTTTGCATGAACTGCGGGCCCTGGGCCCCAGAGGCCGTCTTCTGTTACGGCAACAACACGCACAGCACACTGGTGCCTCGCAACGCGCGACACAATGGCTCATGGAGCCACACGCGCATTGTGATTCACCGACAGGCCAATTGGGTGACCGAGCCGTTGCTCTCTGCGGCCCCTGTGGCAGCTACGCCGTGCCTGTTGTTGCGGGATCAGGTGACCTGGGAGTGCTCTCTGGCAAACAAAATGTGGTGCTTCTCAGCCTGCATTCATGTGACACGCCATGCCGTGGCCTGCGCTCGCGTAGTGCTTCTCAGCCTGCACTCGCGCGGTGCTTCTCAGCCTGCGCCTCCTCGGTACTTGCCAGCCGCCGGATTGGCGCGATTTCCTGCAATACAAGCAGGAGAGGTGAAGTATCCGAGCCCGCGTGTCCACGGTGCTTATCGGCGCGCGTACTTGTAATCCTAGTTCCAGCAGTAGTAGGACTGCGCGGCCGCGGTGCTTTTCAGCCTCCGAGTTTCCGCGGTGCTTCTCAGCCTGCAAGTTTTGCCGACCTGTCCGCTTCACACGCCGCTCCTCAGTGCGTTCTTCTTCCGTTTGCGAGATGTCTTCCAAGATTTGGTTGGAGGCCGAGAATGACGGGCAGAACAAATCCAAGTAGCGCGGTCATCATCCCATCATCGTCCTCAATCATCACATCATCATCATCATCATCAATGGCTTCGCCGAGCACCCCGGTGGAGACTCAGGTCTTACGGGTCCGTGCCCATACTACTAGTACTACTACTACTACTACTACTACTACTACTACTACTACTACTACTACTACTACTACTACTGCTACTACTACTACTACTACTACTACTACTACTACTACTACTACTACTACTACTACTACTACTACTACTACTACGACTACTACTACTACGACTACTACGACTACTACTACTACTACTACTACTACTATTACTACTACTACTACTACTACTACTATTACTACTACGACTACCACTACGACATCACACTAAATCCATTCATGGGAATGCCTGTTTTGGAGCTACACTCATTGATGCAAGTGTGTCGTTTGAGGCTCAACCCGTTGATAGCAGTGTCTCGTTTGGAATCACATCCATTGATAGCAGTGTCTTGTTTAGACCGCAATGCATTTATACAAAGATCTCATTTGGAGATACCGTTATCGAAAGCAGTGTTTCTACTGTTACTACCACTGCTCCCATCACTCCTACTCGTTCACTCCACACACTACAACTACTACTTCACTGTTACCACTACTACCATCACTACTACTTATACTGCTACTACTACTGTTACGATTACTGCTGCTGCTGCTGTTGCTGCTGCTAGTGTAGCTATTGCTACTGCAACTACTGGCAGTGCCACTGCGACTGCCGCTGATGTTGCCACTGCGACTGCCACTGCGAATCCGAATACGACTGCGAGAACACCAGAATTCTACAACAGCGCTCTTACATGAATACCACAGGCAATGTTTCCAGCTATGCTTCTACACATCGCTGTTAGGTTGCTTTGCCGGGATAATTCTTTCATTGCCCGAGGGGTGTCTGGGAATGCGGCGTCGTCGGCGGCGGACGGCAGGCGCGGCGGCGGCGGCGCCCTCGGCGCGGCGGCGGCGGCCGCCGAGGTGGCCGTGCGCGGCCAGGCCGTTCGCCTGCTGGGCCCCGCCTGGGCGCACCGGCTCCCCAGCGGCGTGCCGGGGCCGCGGGCCCCTGGGCGCCGCGGGCCCGGCTGCTCCCATCGGGGGCGGCTAAGATCGGGGGCGGCAAAGAGGGAGGTGATGACTAGGGGGGTGTGGATATCATGGCGGGAGCCATGGTATTTCCACAGGTTTCATGGCGCCTCTTCTTGTTTGAACACGTCCCCGGCCCCCCCGCTGGGCCGCGCACTTGCCGCCGGTCATGATTTGCACCCCCCCCCTCTTGGACACCCCCCTCTTGGCCGCTCCCGATAAGAGGGGGGGGATGGCTAGGGGGGGGGGGATACCCAGACCTCCTCGGGCAGTGAAGAAATCACGACGGGAGCGTTGTCGCTATTTTCCCCCTCTGGGGGCCCTTGCCGGGCCTCGAGACCGTCGAAAAAAGGACTCGGGAGGAGCAACCGGTCCAGGGGAATGGGTCGAGACCTCCAGGGGTCGACGCAATGAAAAAATCATAACGTCGGGGATCTGGTAGCGGGGTGATGACCAGGGGGGTGGATATCATGGCGTGGGCCATGATGTTTCCTCAGATGTCATGGCGTCTCTCCTTGCTTCATTGCGTTCCCGGCACCCCCTGGGCCGCGCACAGGCCGCCGGCCACGATCTGCGGCCCCCTCTTGGCCGCCCCCGATCCCAGCACCTCCCCAGATCTCCGACGATACGGTAGGGGCGTTGGTTCAGGAGTGTGCCCAGGAGGCTCCAGACCCTGGAGGATTCCTTATCTGATGGATCCGGGGCCCAATTTGATTCACGCCGACGTCGCCAATGCATTGCCAATGTCGCCAGTGCATCGCCGATGTATCTGCGATGCATTGCCGAGCCGATGTATTGGCGATGCGGCGAGATCCTCCGAACCCATCTATACTCGGACCCCACCCAGGAGGCCTCTAGAGTGGTGCCCCGCCGGCATCAAGGCCCTGAATTCATTGTCTGAGGGTTCCTTATCCTCTGCCCTCACTGCACGTGCGCCGGCCGAGTCGGCCGACCTCGGGAGCCCTGAGACGGGAGTCAATGCAAACGGGGGTCAGCCAGGGCGCCCGATCTTGCAGGATCCTGCGGGGCCAGGGTCGCATTGACCCAGGCTTGGGCGCAGGGTCCTGCAGGATCTTGCAGGATCCTTCGCGTTGACCCGGGCTTGGGCGCAGGATCTTGCAGGATCTTGCAGGATTCTGCAAGGCCTGACTGACCCAGGTTTGGATTCACCCGGGTCAGAAGATCCCCGACGACCTGCAAACCTCATTGGGGACACCACGGTCGGCGTTTGGGGGGAACGGACGCGCCACTCTGGGCCAGAGCGGGGGCCCCAGAGGGGCTCCAGGCCCACGTGTTCCCCCCTCGCGCCCGCGCGAACAACGCCGACGTCGAGAGTGGATGCCCGCGCGCATCCTCCTCCTCCTCCTCCTCCTCCTCCTCCTCCTCCTCCTCCTCCTCCTCCTCCTCCTCCTCTCCTCCTCCTCCTCCTCCTCCTCCTCCCTCCTCCTCCTCCTCCTCCTCCTCCTCCTCTCCTCCTCCTCCTCCTCCTCCTCCTCCCTCCTCCTCCTCCTCCTCCTCCTCCTCCTCCTCCTCCTCCTCCTCCTCCTCCTCCTCCTCCTCGTGGTCTTGGTGAATCCCGACGTTGTTCCTCGCGTTCGGCCTCCGAGGCCCGCGGTCGGGACCTCTGGGGCCATCAAAAAAGGATCCAGGAGGGAAAACTAGGCTTAAGTCGGGCCTGTCTCTCTACAGTGGGAATATTCAAAAATAGTCAAAAAATAATCTGGGGACTTTTTTGGGAATATGTTTTGACCATGCGGGTGCATTTTTTGAGTATTTTGAACTTTTCGTCCAAAACCCCCCTGTAGGGGGACAGGCCCGACCTAAAACTAGCCCAGAGGAAGGGGTCGGGACCTTTTCGGGACAGCGCAATGAAAAATCACATCGTCGGATGTCCGGGTCCTCGCGGCGTGGTTCGGCCTTCCGGGCCCTCAGGCCGTCAGGGAACGGCTCGGGATCAAAAATTTGTCTGGGGGGAAGTGGTGGTCCAGACCCCTGGTGGCCCGCGCTGCGGACACACCTGGCGTCGGCTCGGCTGGAGATTTGGGCTCCTCGAGCCCTGACGTCAGACATCGGATCCGAAGGCTCTGCTCTGCCAGCTCCTGAAGCCGGGATGGAATCCAGTCGAACATCATCCGAGCTTCGTGCCAAGAAAAACACTGGTGTGGGGGGGGGGGCAGGTGGCGCCCTCCAGGAGCTGGAGGTGCCGACCCGACCCCTCTGGTCGGATATCTTGTTGGGTACCTAGCTCCTCCTCCTCCTCCTCCTCCTCCTCCACCTCCTCCTCCTCCTCTTGCTCCTCCACCTCCTCCTCCTGCTCTTTCTCCTGCACCTCCTCCTCATCATCATCATCCTCCTTCCCCCTCCACTCTTCCCCTCCTCCTGCTCGTCATCTCTTCCTCCTCGTCCCCCTCCTCCTCCTCCTCCTCCTCCTCCTCCTCCTCCTCCTCCTCCTCCTTGGATCTCGGCTCACCCAGATCCCATCGCGCCGTGGGAGAACAAGAGAAGACGACGGAGTGCTTTGGGCCGTCTTCGGTCCTGGGGGTGTCCTTGCCAAGCCCCGAGGCCGTCAGAAAACCGCTCGGGATGAGAGGACAGTCCCCTCGAGAGCAGGGGATCGCTCGGAGCACTCAACACTCACAGTGCTGCACTCCAGGCCTCTCGACGGAAGCTCGCGGCCCGGCGGCTGCAGGAAACTCGGGTGGCCGCCGGCAGAAGGGAGAAGGAGGTGAAGGGCCGAGAGGACGGAGGACGGGAGCGGCAAAAGAACGCGGGCTCCTCCTCGCCTTCCCCCTCCCCCTCCACAATTATTCAATATGAATACTACTCTCCTCCTTCCCCTGATGACGGTTTGGGAATATTCGCCCCCCCCCCCCGCGTATTGTTTTTTTACACACAGGATTCCCCGGAGTTGGGTTTTCGCTTGCATTTTTTTCCTAAATGCTGCTCTCGCTGAGGCGCCGGCCTCATTTTCGGGCCCCGCTCGTTCCGAATCGTGCTCCCGCTGCAGCGCTGGCCTCATTTCCGTGCTTCTGCTCGTTCCGAATCGTGCTCCCGCTGTAGCGCTGGCCTCATTTCCGCGCTTTCGCTCGTTCCGAATCGTGCTCCCGCTGCAGCGCTGCCGTCATTTCTCGTACCATGCCACGGCATGCAATGAAATGCTAGGTTGCGTTCCGCTGCGCGATGCCATGCCTTCAGCTGAAGCTGTGATATGCAGTGCTTAAGTGCCACGTTGTGCTATGCCATGCTACGCTTTGATCTTCAACGCCATGCTATGCAATGTTATGTTCGGGGCCGCCGTGCGATGCCATGCTTTGCGTTGCAAAGCTTTGTGATGCAAGTCTTCACTACGCCACGCCACGCCATGCTGTGACATAGTACGCTTTGCGGTGCTCTTCTACGCCATTCCATGCCGTGCTCTAGAATGCATCGCGTACCCTTTCGGGATCATTACCCTGCTCGACATCCGGCTGTGCGAGTAGAGAGGGGATCTACGCCATGGTAAGGGATGGGAGGGAGGGGTAGGATGTCAGATATGACGCGAGCGCACTTAGCTTGTCCCTTCCCCGCCCTATCACCCCCTCGTCGTCGTCCGCCTCGCCGTCGTCGTCGCCGCCGTGGAGCCTCGTCGTCGTCGTCGTCGTCCCTCGTCGTTGTCGTCGTCCCTCGTCGTCGTCGTCCTCGCCGTAGTCGTCATCGTGGTCGTCGTCGTCGTCGTCGTGCGGGTCGTCGTCGTCGTCGTCGTCGTCGACCGCCTGTTGTCGAGCGTCGTCTGCCGTCGGCCGCGGCCGCCGCCGCCGTCGCGCTCACAGGCGCTGGGCCCTGCCGTGAGCGCGGCGGCCGCGCGGCGCTGCGGCCGCAGCGGCGCGAAGCCTGCGGCCTCCGCGCGGGGGGACCTGGGCAACGGCAGGCAGCCGCCGCCGTCCCCCGCCGCCGCCGCCGTCGTCCGTCCCGCCGCCGCCGTCGTCCCTCGTCGACGACCCTCGTCGTCGTCGTCGACCCTCGTCGTCGTCGCCGTCGTCGTCCCTTGCCGTCCTGGTCGTCGTCGTCGTCGTCCGCCTCGCCGTCGTCGTCGCCCCCGCGGAGCCTCGACGTCGTCGTCCTGGTCGTCGGCCCCACCGGGACCCCGCCGGCCCCCTGGGCGGGACGGGGGTCTCTCTTCCTTTGGCCTCCTCCTGCGATGCCACGGCTCTGACGCTTCGCACACGTCCGGATGGCTCTCCGAGAGCTAAGAGTCCCCTGCGGCGGATCCAGGCCACAAGCGAGCAGTTCCTCTGCGAGTCGTGGAACGCGCGGGTCTATCCTCCATGCCGCCCCCCCTCCACCCCGCCCCTTCCTCGGGGGTTGCCCGAAGTGCCCCTGACTCAAGGTGCCCCCAGTATTCTTAAGGAGGCCCCCGCGGCCTCCAGACCACCCCTATCACGAGGCCCAGGCCCTCCCCTAGGGCTCCAAGCTTGAACGAAGAGACGAAGAGCCTCTAGGGCACCCTGGGCCAGGGGCACCTTTGGCAACCCCTGACTTCTGCGCGCGGCTGGCCCTGGCTGCCCTATGCCTCCTAGATGGGGTCCGAGTAGAGGGGGACGGAGGATCGCGCCGCATCGGCGAGGCGGGTTGATGTGCAGCCCGATGTGTGTCACGTCGACGTCACCGATGCATCGCCGACGTCGACGATAAATCGCTGGAGCATCGCCGATGCACCGCCGATGCACCGCCGATGCACCGCCGATGCATCGCCGATGCATCGCCGATGTATCGGCGATACGTCGCGATCCTCCGACCCCATCTACTCCGACCCCATCTAGGAGGCCTCTACGAGAGGGCTTCAGATTTAGAAGCCGGCAGCACATGGTATGCCAGCTTTCTCTCCACGGCTCCAGGGCAGGGGGCCTCGGAACGCCTCCTGTGAAGTCGCAGCGCGTCCCGAAGAAGTTGTGCGACTCGTTCCCCATACGTTCGCAGGAAGTCTTTTTTCCCGCAGCTACTTCGAAGCGCTTCCTGAGCTTCTTCGAAGCTCCTTTCTCGAGCTTGCAAGCTCTCCAGGCATGTTTTCAAGCGCACGTGCAAGCGTCTCCCATAATGCTTTCACCCGCTGTAGACTGCGACGCTATCCGGATCATGGACGCCACAAATAGCAGTAGTTCATGACCGAAGCGAACTACAGTCGCATGCACAAGAGGCGCCCAGGTGCCTCCCAGCGCCCCACGCAGTGGACGCGGCACTCTCGAGCAGTAGTCGTGCTGTCTCAGGAGGACGGCCCCTGAGGACGGCGCGCCAGGCCACCTCGTTGCCGCCGGCGCGCGCTGCTGGCAGCAACAGCAGCAAGCCCGCGCGCGGCGGCAACGCGGGTACCCACCCGCCGCACGGGCGGCAGGCCAGCAACGGCCACGTCGGCGCCCAGCACCCGCAGCGCATGCAGGCGACCCAGGCAGGGCCCTGGGACGCCGTGTGCGCCAGCCAGGCGCGGCCTGCGAAGAGGTTCCGCGCCGCCGCGGCTGCCCCTGGGCGCGGCGCCGCCGCGGGCGCTGGGGGGGCGGCCCAGCGTCGCCGCACCCTGGGTCCGCCTGGGCGGGGGCCGTGGTTCGTGTTGAGAGCGGCCAGTTCCACCGCCGCCGCCGCGCGCTCTGGAGCGCTTCGAGCGCGTCCAGCTGCTGCGCCCGCCGCTGGCGCAAGTCGAGGGGGCGGGAGTGGGGCCCGCGCCCCAGCGTCGGCGAGCCTGTCCGCAGCTGCGCTGCCAGCCCAGTCCGCCTCGGCGATGCCGCGAGCGGCGGCTTCCGCCTGGTCCAGGTGGCCCTCGACCCAGCGGGCCCGCAGCAGCCCGCTGCGGCAGTGCGGCGCGATTGCTTCCCAAAGGTCAGCGCGCGGCCAGTTCGTCGCCCTCGCACCTCTTCGAAGCGCGGCGACCCCGCGACTCACGAATCGGGAGTCCGTGACGACGTCGAGGGGGCCCCTGCAAGGCTGCACGCCTGCACCGCGGCCCACGGCTCGGCACGCTGCGCGATCTGCCGCCCGTCAACCATGCCGTGGCCGTCGATGCGCCCGACGGGAAGTCCCTCCATTCTCGCGCCCCATCCCGCGCGGGCGAGCAGGGGGTCCCCTGGGTGCAGGCAAGAACCGCGGTCCCGGCGCGGACCCACCCGTGCGGCAGCTCCTCCGCGGCGGGGTCAGGAAGCGGCGGCAAGGGGAGCGCCTGCTGGGCCACGGCGGCCAGCGCGGCCAGGCGGGCGTCCAGGGGGAGCACCGCTGTCCTCGCTGTCTCGGCTGGCAAGCAAGCGTGCGCACCGGCTGGGGTGAAGCCACTCGTCGCGAAAGCCGCGTGGCACGTCGCCTGCCATCGCGGGCACGCCCACAGCACGTGTTCGAGATCCTTGATTGTGGCCCCGCGGTGGGGGCACGCCTGCGGCCTCCCCCACCTGGCTGATGCGGACTCCGTGATCACACTGCCAGCACTCACCGTCCGCAAGGCGCCCGCAGCGTCGGGCGCCAGCTGCCCTGACTCCAAGAGAGCCGGCGAGCCGCCCAGCGATCCGCGCCTCCCGCGAGGTGCTGCAAGTCGGCCCCTGGCGACTGCGCGGGCTCCCTGCCGCCCCCAGGCCTCCAGCAGCACTGCGCGAGTGTCCGGGAGGGCGCGGAGCCGTCGGGGGCCTCTGGGATGCCACTCCAGGCCTCGATGTCGGCCCCCGTCTGCAGTTCTGCCAAACTGCGGAGGGCGGCTGCGATCGGGCCGAAACGCCGGCCGTGCCCTGCAGCCAACGCGCCCGCGGCCTCGCGCCACAAGTCCGTCGGGAAACGCCTCCGGCGGAGCGCTCTCGTAGCTTGCCATAACGGGGCGGTCACTGCCACGGCCAGCGGATCAAGACGCCAGCTCGGCGCGAGAACGCCGAAGACGATCTCCGCGGACGCCCGCAGTCCACCGCGGCAAACGGCCCTTTTCGCCGCCGCGCGCAGGCTGGCGAGCTCGCAGGCCGGCGGCCGTCCGCACGCGGCGCCGTAATGGCCCGCGGCTGTGACAGCGGCAGCACCCAGCAGGCACTGGCTCCCGAAGCTGAGTGGCAGGCGGCCGAGGCGGGCAAGCCGCATGGAGGCCCCGCGCAAGCGCGCCGCGGTGACTGCGCAGCGCCTGGCCCTGCCCGCGGTGGTCGCGAACCCCAGGTCACGGACCTCATTGCCCGCCTGGATCCCAGGGATCGGCTCCGCGAGCCAGCGCCGGCGCTCCCTGCTGTTCGCGAACTGCTTGCTCTTGGCGCGGTTCAGGGCCCAGCCCGTGGCTGTCTCAAAAGCGGCCGTCAAGGGGCCCAGCGGCACAGAATTACCCTGCGACGTACCCAACCCTTTCTATACATGTGGCGAGTGTACTCAGGACCACTCAATGCTGACTGGCATTCTGAAGGACTCGCAGTGCGCAAGAAGAGCACCCAGCAGTGATTTCAGAAGAACGCAGCAAGAAGAGCATCGGCGAAAATACAAAACAGACACGCAAGGGGCGTTTGTGGTGGTCCGCGCATGACGTACCTCCGCTGGGCCTCCCCCAGGAGCCCACGAAAGTGCCGACAGTTTCGCAGATCGCAGCCCCCCAGGGCACCGCGAGCTACAGTGGTGGTCCGCGCATGACGTACCTCCGCTGGGCCTCCCAGGAACCCACGAAAGTGCCGATAGTTTCGCAGGAGAGAAGGAGGAGGGGAGGAGAGGGGAGGAGGAAGGAGGAAGGAGGACGGGGCGACCACACCGCTCTATTCAAAACGAGAACCCAACACAGGAGGCTTAGGAAAAACCGTGGTCCTTGGCCGCTTCCCGCCGCTCCTCCGTCGGCATCGTCAGCTTCGGGCCCGGGGGGCCCGCGAGCGGCGCGGCACCCGGCGTGGCGGGCGGCAGCGGTCGCCTGCGCGACGGGCGGCGGAGCCTCCCCAGCCGGGGGCCACGGGCCAGAAGTCCCAACACGAAGGGCGTCCGAGTGACGTCCCAGGGGCTGCCCTGCGGCCCGGTCGCCCCGCGCGTCCCCCCGCGACCTCGCCGCGTGAGAGCGCTCTCTGTTTCCGCCTCCTGTCTCTGCGTCCGCCCCTCGTCTCCTCCCCTCCTCTTGCATGCGGGACAGTTCTCAACACCGTAGACCCGGCCGCCTGGACGCGCGTGCGGGTTGCCTCTGCCGCGCTGCGACGCAGAACAGTTGTTGCTTTTCGTCTCTCTCTCCGTCGCCATCCTGGGTCGAGCCCTTGTTGCGTGCTGCCTCTCGTTGTTTGCGTTGCCTTCCGGATTTTCTCATTCTAATCGCTGCGGGAGCACTGCACAGGGCCCCAAGACGGACCCGTAATTAACACCTGGAGAAACTTCCAAGAAGTTACGAGAACGCCGCAGGAGGGCCCCGAAGAGTCAAGAGATCCCGAAAGCGGCCCAAGAGAGCACCAGGACGCCAGCCCTGGACAGTTCGAAGGTCCGGAATGGCTGCGCCGCTGCACCCGAGTGTAGCCCTTAAGTGTGCGGTTCCGTTGGGCCTGGCAGTATTTGTTCCCCACAGGTTTAGTGAGATTATGATTGTCTCTCCCATCTCCCACCCGCGCCGCACCCGCGTTCACCTTCACCTCGTCCCCCCCCTTTGCATGATGTCTTTGCCAGTCTCAATGCACTGGACACACATGCAGGCACGCACGGACACGCACACACACACACACACACATCCACACACACACACACACACACACACACACACACGCACACACATCATGCAACGCTAGTGCACGCCTGGCGTGTTCACTGGACTATACACCCAAGACGCATGCGCCGCACACTGAGAACCCACATGAAACACACGTCCACGTTTAGCCTGACACACATCGTACACATATACATGAGACACCGACGCAGACCCAGTCACTCTCGTGCAGTCAGGGGGTGGCCCCTCAGTGCTGTCTCTATGCGTGCCAGGCTCACACAGCGTGGCAGGCGTGGCACTTCCTCAGCACCGCAGGGGGGCGGTGGTGATGGTGCCGCTATCCGTTTCGGGTCCGCACAGCGTCGCAAGCGTGACACGTCTTCGGCACCACAAGGGGTGCGCAGCGGGTGGTCCCGCTATCCGTTTGGGTTCGCAAAGCGCGGCAGGCGTTGCACTTCTTCGACACCACAGGGGGTGCGCCGGGTGCGCTGGGGGTGGTCCCGCTATCCGTTTGGGGTTCGCAAAGCGTGGCAGGCGTGGCACTTCCTCAGCACCGCAGGGGGGGCGGTGGTGGTGGTGCCGCTATCCGTTTCGGGTCCGCACAGCGTCGCAAGCGTGACACGTCTTCGGCACCACAAGGGGTGCGCAGCGGGTGGTCCCGCTATCCGTTTGGGTTCGCAAAGCGTGGCAGGCGTGGCACTTCCTCAATGCCGCAGGGGGGGGCGGTGGTGGTAGTGCCGCTATCCGTTTCGGATCCGCACAGAGTCGCAATCGTGGCACTTACTCGACATCACAAGGGGGTGCGTGGGGGGTGATCCCGCTATCCGTTTCGGGCTCGCAACACGTGGCAGGCGTAGCACTTATTCGACACCACAAGAAGGGGCAGTGGGGGTGGTCCCGCTCTCCGTTTCGGGCTCGCAAAGCTTGGCAGGCGTGGAAGAGCTTCAGGCGCCCCAGGAGAACAGGTTCGCTTTTGCGGTTGTTCGTAAGGCACTCGGGAGGAGACTTGAACACGAGCGCGCACGAAGCGCGCGAGCGTGGATCTTAGGAATGGTTTGCGCGAGCGCTGGAGTGTTCAGCGGGCGGGTGGGGCAATGGTGCGCTCTGTCATCTCGGGCGGCTCGGCAAGACCACGTCTCGCCCCAGTGCGAACGAGCTGAGACAGAGGCCTCGCGGTCGCTCTCGGAGGGATGTCCTCTCTCTCTCGGTCGAGCGACGAAGGTTGTGAGTGTGTGAGCGCGGGGTGTTGTGGGAGTCCGCAGGACGAAAGTGTCTTTCTACACTCCATGACTTCGAACGTCGAGAGTGTTGTGCACGGCGCCGCCACGAAAAAAAAATGTCGGGGCCAGCGAACGCGCATGGCGCGCTTCCCACGGAAGGCGCCTCGCCTTCGGCGTGCCTCGCCCGCGTCGGAGGTTGGCGAAAGGCTGGCAGAAGTAGAGCGGCGGCGGGCCCGCCAGCGGAAGCCTGGAAGCTCAGCGGAAGTTTGCGGAAGTAAAAATTATCCCAGTGCGACCCTACCTAGGAGTTGGAACCCTTAGGAAAGCAGCATTAGTAGTAACAGTAACGCTAAGCTAAAGCTAAGCTAAAGCTAAGCTAAAGCTAAGCTAAAACTAAGCTACAGCTAAGCTCAAGCTAAACTAAAGCTAAGCTAAAGCTAAGCTAAACGCTAAGCGAAAAAAAAGCGAAACGCTAAGCTAAAGCTAAGCTACAGCTAAGCTAAAGCTAAGCTAAAGCTGAAGCTAAAGCTAAAGCTAAAGCTCCCAGGAGACTGGGGGGAACCGCGGGACGGGGACTGGGGGAACCGCCCGGGGCGCTTTACACTGCCCGGCCCCTTTAAGCTAAGAGAGTAAGAACCCTCTAGGCAGAGCCTAGGTAGGGAAAGATGGGACACCAACATGTTTGTGTCGAGGGTTTCCGAAGTCAGCCGCTTAAGCATTCTGGTTTGAATCCAGCTGCCTCGCTGGCAAGTTCCGCCCGTCCCTCCCTGCGCCCGGGGAGCGATGGCTTTTGTGGAGCGCGTCGTCGGAGCAGCCTCGCAGGGCGCCGTGGGCGCGGTCGTGGCGGGCAACCTGAGCGCGGTGACGGAGCCGGTGGTGAACGCCATGCTGGTGAAGCGCGTGCCTCTGTCGGAGGCTGTCAAGGAGGTTTGGCGGCGCGCACGAAGGGGGGGGGCGCGAGGGGGGCGGCCTTCCAACAAGGCGGGGGGGTGGCTTCTCAGGAGGCAGGGGCCCGCTCTCAGAAGCCATCCTGCCTTCCAAGGAGCCTGCTTACAAGCCACCCAGGCGCTTCTAAAGAAGGCCCCAGCCTTCTAAGCAGATCCCCCGCCTTCTCAGAAGCCAGGCCCTCCCGCGCCGCGTGCCGCCAAAAGAGGTGTCTCCGGAGCGCGTGTACAAGTACCTGCAGACCACACTGGCCACGAACTTCATCAAGTTCCCGTTCTTCGAGGTCACGAACATGCTCGTCGGCGGCATCGACCTGCCTCCCACGCTGAAGGGTGCCCTGACTGGCACCGTATTCTGCACGGCGACCCTGCCCATCACAAACTACCGGTTCCGGAAGTCCATGGACTTGCCAATCACAGCAGCGAATCTGTACCAGGCGTATCTGCCCACGGTGTTCCGAGACATTTTGTACGGCATCGTGCGCAACAAGGTCGCGACTTTCTTGTTCCAGTTGAACCCCCAGCGAGCGGGCACGAACCTCGGCCGTTTCTTGAACATGTTCGCGACAGTCATCGCCGCTTGTGTGATCTCTGCGCCAGGCAACGAACTGCGCGGATATTGCCTGCAGCCGCCAGCGAAGAAGCAGTCGTTCGCGGAGTTTTTCCAGCCTGCCAAATTTGTGAGGAGCACCTCTGTCGGCGCGGTGATCATGGCAATCAGCCTGGGTGTCGGCACCCTCGCTACGCCTCAGGTGGAGAAGTTGGTCGCCACCGTGCGGAAGTACTTCAGGAACCAGCCTCTCGGTTTTCTGATGATTCTTTTGTTTTCCCTACATCAAATTCTCGAGAACAGGCGCCACAGCCAGACGATGGCCCTGAAGGACGAGCCCGCCAAGCCCGCCAAGAACAAGGCCTCAGCCGATGCCAAAGCCAAGGCCTGAAAGCAAGATGCGGTGAGATCTCCCTCTGTCGAGGCACAAGTGTTTACCCAGTGTGGATGGCGTCCAGAAAGGCACGACCTGTGAGGCGGTTCTGTTATCTTCTAGGCTTGGGTCTGGAAGCGGTTCCGCTGTCTGCCCATTCAGTAGTACGCCGGACCGTTTGAAAGTGTCCGGTTCTGGCCAGTCTCCTGCCATTTTGCTCGGCCGTTCAAGCGATGTGATGGGAGGGATGAAAGTCGAGTGAAAGCTTGGATCAGAGCATCTAAAAGTAATTGGAGACGACGAAGGCGAGCCATTTCAGCAGCGACCCGCGTGAGTCGGCACCCCGAGCCGTCGCGCGGGGCGCTCTCTGACTCGCTCCCGCGGGCCTGCGAATCCCACCAGGCCCCCATGGGCGCAAGCAGGTGGCCTAACGAGCTCATTTCTCCCTCTTCAACAACACCTTTTCGAAGGGGGGGGGCCTGCCCCGACGGAGGAGCTGGCGCGCCTAAGATTGCCGAAGATGGTTCAAGAAAACGGGAACTTGTTCGAACAACTAACGGCCTGCCCCCAGGACGCCCCAAGAGGACCGCAAGACGGTCCCACGTGTTTTCGGATCCCTTTCCAAGCCCCTCAGGACCCTCTTAAAGGGCTAACATCCTCCAAACATTTGAAGAATCTCAGTGATGTATTTGCCTTCTCCACTTTTCGCTTCCGAACAGCTTTGGCGGCCTCAAGATGGCCCCGACACTGCTCAAGAGAGCCCTACGAGGGACCCAAACGGCCACCAAGACGGCTCCAGGAGCACCCAAGTGAGCCCCACTAGCGCCCCAAGAGGATCCCATGATACAGTTCCAAAGCGGTGGCCGAAATCGGGCTTCCCCCCTCTCCGTTGATCGATGGCCTCCAAGATGAAGTATGACCCCAAGAGGTCCTCCTGTGTTACGCGCCGCACCAGAGAGCCCCAAGAGGTCCCTTAAGAGGACCCCCAAGGCACCCAAAGAGCCGCAAGAAGGCCCCGAAAAGGCACCGAGAAGGCTCCAGGAGGAGCTCAAAAGGGTCCCGACGAGATCCCACGATGGTTCTCAGAATCATCCGAAGGCTTTCGCAGCAAAGGATCCGCGAAGGCCTCTCCCTCTCCTCATTATCGCCCTGCTCCCCATCATCATCATCATCATCATCATCATCATCATCATCATCATCATCATCATCATAATAATCATCATCATCATCATCATCATCATCATCATCATCATCATCATCATCATCATTCTCATTATCATTCTCATTATCAGCAGCATCATCACCCAGGTACGGTCGATCATCATCATCATCATCATCATCAACAACATCAACAGCATCATCAGCAGCATCATCAGCAGCATAATCATCATCAGCATATTCATCATCGTCAGCATCATCAGCATCATCAGCACCATCACCATCATCACCATCGCCATCGTCGTCATCATCTCGTCCTCCTCATCCCCCTCCGTCATTATTTTCCGGATCCTTGTCCCTCTTCCTCCTCTTCCTCCTCCTCGTCCTCTTCCCCTTCCTCTTCCTTCCCTCTTCCTTCTGTTGCCCCACCTCTCCTACTTTATCTCTCCTCCTCCTTTCCTTCCCTCCCAGCCCGTCCTGCCTCATGTTCGTTTTCCTCTTCTTGGCTCCCTCATCCTCATTCACCTCCCTCCTCATCATCGTCATCAACAAGATCATCCTCTGTCTAGTCCCCCACGCGGACCCCAAAGATGGCCCCGCGAGGCCCTCCACGTTTCCCCTTGCCCCCGGGGTACTACGTTCGCGTTCACCCTTGTTCCTCGTTTGGTTTCGCCATATGTGTCTCTTCCTCCCCTCTCCCGTCAGCTCTGATGAGTATCGCTTCTGGATGGCATGGTGGGGATACTTTTTTTGTCGCGTCCGCAAGCGAAGGCGCAAGCGGAGTAAGAAGCGCTACGGGTCACGACAGCGGCCTAATTAGCAGCTAGACGCGCCGCAAGCCGGCCGGCCCACTCATACAGCAGCGGCTGACTGCGCGGGAGAAGCTGCAAGCAGGGGGCGTCCAGGGTGCTCGAGCACTTGCAACACGACGAAATGCTGGTGAATTTAAGAGGTGCCGAGTGGCAAACCCGAAGGAGCATGAGGACGATAGCTGTGGGCGGCGCGACACGGTGGGGATACGCAACGCGTCAAGAATTGGCGCACGCGCGTGTGCGCGCGTGCGAAGTATCCCCATGCTCGTGCGAGTCAGGCGAGATGTTCGGTCGGCGAGAGCAAGTGCCTAATTCGTCGGACCTTCGTCAGCGATGCCGTAGAGACCGAGGGCGGCAACACGTGAGATGTTGTATTCAGCTCCATCGAATCTGCGGGCCTTTCCGTACCCGCCCTCTTCAATAGCATCAGAGCCCTTGTTGGCGATGGGTTATTAGCAGGGCAAGGCAGAGCAGGAGTCGCCCCATAACGTGCGCCCAGAACCGTCTTATGACCTCAAGTGCTGATTTAAGGATTTGATCGAGTCGTCCAATAATAAGATCGGGAATAAATGTAAGTCTTGAATAAGGATTGCGTCTTGTTGTTGATAACGCAGGTCTTGTTCAATGCACAAGTGTGCAACTGGGCACAAGTCTTAAGCAAACACTGTTGCACCCTCATAGCTTTTTGGGGGTTGACGGTGCCTCTGCCCCAATACGAGCTGAGTGTATTTGCGGGAATGGGTAAAAGCATGTATCTCTCAGTGTTTCGGGAAAAAACATAGCACAACACGAGAATGGCCTAAACATGCAGGCGTGTAGTGTCCTGCAGAACCTCTGCGCTGTTATCTCGGCGCCAGTGACGTCGTCTTTTCGGGGGCCGTTCGAGCGGTGATGATCAAATTGCCGTCGAAATTCATTTTGAGAGTCCTGAGAAAGCACACGCGCTCGCACAAGAGAACCCATCTCTCCCAATGTGTCCCACTCCGGTTATTGTTCTTTCTTTCCAGTTCCCTCCCATTCCTGCCCCTTCCAATTCCTCCAATTCAACCCTTTTCTGTTCTATGATCTGGCCTTTTTCCAAAACATTGCACACAAGAGGGACCTACAAATTGCGCGCGTCCTTCTCTGAATCAATCGGACTGTGCTTGAGGAGGCGTGCATCTTCTTCTCCTCCTCCTCCTCCTCCTCCTCCTCCTCCTCCTCCTCTGGTGCCTCCTCTATCGTCCCCCTCTTGGGGTATGACGGCTTTCCCGGCCCAAGCCCGCGGCTCACCCTGGCGATCTTGCCAGCAGTGTTTCGTCGCCCGCCTCTGCTCCTATTTGCTCTTTGTTCCGCCTCCGCGTGCCCCTCCCCATTGGCCTATATTCAAGTCGGGCGTGTCCCTCTACAGGAGGAATATTCAAAACTAGTTGCATTTTTTAATTATGCGTATAAAGAACTAGGGACGATGTTCTACTATTTGTTACCATTTGGGAGAATGTATTGCCTGTTTTTAATTTGCCGTCCAAAATCCCACTGTAGGGGAACATGCCAGACCGAAGTCTATATTTCCCGCCCCCCCGTTTCTGTTACATCCCATTCGCTGAAGCGCCGGCGGAGAAGGATCTTACGAACGCAAAACAAATATCTCGCAGAGGGAGGCTGGACGGGTGCAAGGCAAGAATCCGCAAAGGACGAAGTAGATAACGAGAAGTTGTCGACCCACAATATTTTCATGCCATCGACGTGCTCACCGGTCCGCGTGTTTCCTAACACTTTCTTCATGTTCTCTATGATGGTACGCGCGGCAATGTTGTTCATCATGGTGCGCCGCACTTAGTTTACATGGTGCGCCGCACTTAGTTTACATGCTTTCTCTGTATGTATGTACATATGTGTTGTGAACCGAAACGCTCTTTGGTAGTATACAGTATCCTACTTGGTGTTGCGATAGTCTAGTTCACTTGCAAATATTATCCCGAATGCTATGACGAAGGCCTTACGGCCGGTGCCGCCGACCCTGAAGGGGGAGGACAACGACGGTGGCGGCGACGACGACGCTGACGTGGGTTAGAGTCCTCGGAGCGCTTTCGGGAGCTTCTGGGAAGCAATTTTGGGGCCTCTTGGGAGGCTCTTGGGGGCCTCTTGGGAGGCTCTTGGGGGCCTCTTGGGCGCTTCCCGGGACATCCTGGGAGCCTCTCGGCCCTCTTGGGTCGTTTTGAGGCCTCTTGGTGCCCTATTGGGCCGTCTTGGGGCGATCTTGGGGGCTTCTTCGGCGTTCTTCGAGCGTCGTGAAGCGGAAAAGGCGATAACGCCAAAATCAAAAATCCCAGGAAAACATCTTGATTTCGCCTCTTGGGGCCCTCTGGGGACTGCTCTTGGAGGCGCTTTGAAGTCCCTTGAGCAGTCTTGAGGCCATGACCGATCGTTCGGCGATTCGGAGCTCTCTTGGACCGTCTTGGGGACTCCTTGTGGCACTCTTGGACCGTCTTGGGGTTCTCTGGGGGCCCAGAACCCCAGGGGGGACGGCATTCTGACCCGGGCCCCCCCCCCCTCCCTGGGACCTTCTCCCGATACTTCCCCCCCATGGAGCTTCTCTTCGACTCAACTACGACGTTGCTTAAATTGCAACTATTATCCCAGATGCTGTATGCATGAATCGCTCATCATAATCCGTGTCCGACTCGGTCTGTATGTTGCTTGTCCGATAACCGAAACAATGGAAAATCCAGATAGCAAAATCCGATAACATGAAGGACAACGACACAGTGAATTGTTGAACTCGTACGCGCGACTCCGTCCAACAAGAATCAAAAATCGCTCTTGCTGCGAAAATCGGCATTCATAGAACACGATCGCTGTCGTATTCGCTTGGAGCCCCATGCGCCACATGTTCAAACACATTTCCACATTGTATGATCAATCGCTGGGAGCGGAAGTGTATAGAAGATTTGGGCCACAAGCAACAACATTGTTTCCACTCTTAGCGCGTGAGCGAATCAGGGAAGTGCCTTGGCCATTCCGAAAAGGATCCTCCTCCTCCTCCTCCTCCTCCTCCTCCTCCTCCTCCGCCTCATCCTCCTCCTCCCTCTACTCCTCATCCTCTTCGTCCTCTTCCTCCTCCGCCTCCTCCTCCTCCCTTGACGCTGCTTAGGCCGCCCTCGCTGTAGGCAATATTCGGCCTACTGCACTGTGTTTCAAGCTCCCCTGCCGTGACCGCTAACCTTAATCGGGTTGTTAACAACACCTACCCGGGATTTCGTTGGCACACCGCTATGGTCTTCTTCTTTAGAATTTGAACAACGAGTGCGGAAAGATAAACACAAAGGATGGACTCGAAGTGTAGCTAGCGTCTGTAGACACGGAACTTCGTACAAATCGCTATTGAAAACGGTGTCGATGGATGCGGAAATTGGTTTCGACGAATACCGAAGCCGCGGTCGATGGGCATCGAAAGAAAGATTAATGGATAATGAGTTTTGGATTTGTAACCATTTCATTATGGAAAGTCTTGTGAGTGGATTGCTTGTCAAGTGATAAGGGGTGCCGCGCAGCAGCATTCGATTTGTCGGGGACACGAGTTTCC